TAAATTTAAATTATGTGTCTTAAATTTAAATCAAGGCTATTTAAAAGGTGATTTAAATCATCCATTTTAATCACTTTTTCCATTCGTACTTCATTATCTTCAAAAGAAAGAGGCATTCTTATTGGTTGATATAATCATTAAAACATTGATTTACAACTAAATACAATTTGGTGCACCTTTTTCTAATTAGGAGGGTATACCATAACAGTATAAATGAAGCCATTATGTAGCTTAATTTTTCTATGTCCTTAATAACTGCACCACTTCAGCATGTTAGAAAGTGGTGAACAACATATTGCTTATTTACCACATAATTAACTTTTTGCTCATGAGTGGCATCAGTAAAGTCAATAAATTTTATTTAAACACCATAAACAATTTATTTTTATTACACAAAAGATTCTCATGTTTTGGATACATAATCTTATCAAAACATGTTTCACATTTAAAACTACTTGATCTGTTGAACAGTGGGAATAACTGTCCTTGGTGAATTAAACTAGACTAACCTAGAGAAAATGTCCAATATGCCTAAGTAAAGGAGATTAAAGCGTAAGTTCCTACTTGCCTATGTCTCTTGAATGTAAGATAAACTCCTAAATTACTCAGGCCAATAGCATGGCATCAGAGGTTAGAATTGGGAAAAGCAGCCTTTAATTCAAAAGTTTTGATAAATATACTGTACTGGTGAGTACCTCTTTTTTACATTAAAATTTTAGGAAACTACAATAAGTTTGGGTTTTAAAATATTTTGTATTAAATTCAGATTTCATTTTAGATGGGTTTATTAACAAAAACAAAATTAAAAAATTGGATTTGATTTTTTTTCAAAAATGGTTTTTATTTACCCTAATCATTATGTCAGCAGTGTTACCTTTCTTAAATAGGCTTGCAATCTCATACTTGAACATGTGTCAGGCGATGTCTAAATTTGAGTCATTGCTGCCAGAAATCCCTAGAAAGGAGTTCAGGGCCCTGACTAAGAGGGTGTCAACAGCCAGGAAAGTGTTGGAAGAAGCTTCTGATCTGGCGAACTCTGCAGTGTGCTCCATGGCACCTGCTGTGTTCATGCGCAGGGCAGCATGATTGCTGCTGACAGGCTTATCAATGGAGGCCCACCAATCCACCCGGGACCCGTATTTGAAGAGCATATGGACACTAAGCAGCATTACCTTAAGGACTCCCAGACCATCCTAAAAATCTCAGGGTTGTGTGTCCTGGAGCCAGAAAGGAAGAAATTTAAACCTCTTCCTTCCCAGCCTAGAGGTTCCTACCCCAGACAGGATCACATCCCAATCTTTGAGGGATAAAGGTGATTTCTCCATTTCATGGCAGATGTAAACTATTATCAGTTTACTGTCCTCCCCTTTGGTTTGGCTGTGGTCCCGAGTGTATTTACAAAATGCCTGTCGGTGGTAGCAGTTTACCTGGGACCCATAGGAATCCAGGGTTATTTCTGTCACGATGACTGGCCCTTCGGGGCAGCTATGAAGCCAAGGCTCAGTAGGATACTGCTCTTCTACTACACATGTGCCAGCATATGGGCCCCCTAATAAATAACAAAAAGTCAACGTTAGTCACTATGCCGAAGATGGAATTCACTGGTGCAGTGCTAGACTCAACCACAGCCCAGGCATTATCCCTCTAGACAGGTTTGAGGAGCTATCAGCCCTTGTAACAAAAGTCTCCACCACATTGTTAAATACAGCCAGGGTTTGCCTGCACATCCTGGGGGGTCACATGGCACCATGATCTTTCCTGGTGCTCCTCACCAGACTCATGATGTGCCCCTTGCAGATGTGACTGATGACTGTTTATTCGCCAGTCAGACACCCTCAAGACTAGGTAATTACCATCCCAGTGCACATCCTCTATTCCCTGACAGGGTGGACCACTCTGGGGAACATCATGTCTAGTATACCCGTCTAGTCACTGCGACACTCCACACATCTAGTCTCAGGTGCCTTGGATCTTGGATGGGGAGCACTTCATGCGCAGGAGGAATGGGACCCTGACAAAACACACACTTATAAATATCACAGAGTTCAGAGCAGTGCAGAAGTCATGCAGGGTGTTTCTCCCCCATTTATCAGGCAGAGTGGTCCATGTCTGCAGAAACAACATGGCCACAGTGTTCTAGATCCACAGCCCTCTATCAAGAGGCAAGTCTGCTCTGAAACTTCTGTATTTCCTTGGAGGTTTGTCACCTCCCAGGGACCAAGAATACCATTGCAGACTGCCTGAGCAAACAGTTCTTGTCTCACCAGAGATGGGCTCTTCACCTGGAGGTGATGTCCAATCTCTTCCAAGAGTAAGGCTCTCCCTGAGTAGATTTATTCTTGACCAAGCAGAACACAAAGTGCTGCAGGTTCTGCTTCAGCCTGAGTTTGAAGGAAGTTGCCCTCGTGGACACTTTCCTCCTTCTTTGGACAGAAGGCCTCATGCATGTGTTTTCACTGTTTCCTTTGATTAGCAAAGTCATGCAGAAAATAGAGCAGGACACACCACCAGGGACTCTTATGGCATCCGCATGACTGCGCCAAGGTTGGTACATCACTCTCACGAGTCTCTTAGCGCTGCAGCCTCAACTTCTGCTGGTCCGTGTGGAACTACTGTTGCAAGATCACAGCTGCCTCCTGCACCTGGACCCCTCCACCTCACAGTGCGGTTGCTCCAGGGCTGAAGCCTGAGGAGTAATCTGCTCTTTCAAGATAAGGCAGGTTCTCTTGGAGAGCAGACAACCATCCATCAGGTCCACCTACCTGACAAAATGAACCCAATTCTAGAACTGGGCTATTCAGAGAGGGATCAACCCCATCGAGGCACCACTGCAGACACTCATTGAGTACCTTCTGCATTTAAAACACAAAGGTCTTTCCTTGACTTCAATCAGAGTATACATGGCCACCATTTCAGTCTTTCATCTGCTGATTCAATGTCAGTCCGTGTTTTTCCAGACTATAACAGCCAGATTTTTGAAAGATCTTGAGAGGCTTTTCCCGTAGGTCCATTCCCTCTCCCTCAGTGGGACCTTAAGTTGGTCCTGTTTAGGCTGTCCTCTCTTCAAGCCCATCTCCTCCTGCTCCCTTTTGCTCCTTTCCACCAACGTGGTCTTTTTATTGGCAATGAAATCAGAGCAGTGCAGAAGGCATGAAGGATGTTTCTCCCCCATCTGTCATACAGAGTGGTTCGTGTCCTGGTCTTTTTCAAGGATAATATGCAGCTCAGCCCTCACCCAGCCTTCCTGCCAAACATTATTTCTGCCTTCAACATGGGCATGGACATCATCCTTTCAATCTTCTGCCCTAAGCCACATAATACCAGTGAGGAGAGGTGTCTTCATACTCTAGACATCAGGTCAGTGCTTGCCTTTCACCTGGAACAGACAAAGCTCTCCCATATGTCCTCCCAGCTGTTTGTGGCCTATTCTAAATGGATGAGAGGTCTTCTGGTATGCTCAAAGAAGATTTCCAGGCGTTCCGCCATACCCCTTGGCGAGGGCGCATTCTACCAGAGTACAAGTCTCTTCAGTGGCCTTTCTGGTCTATGTTCCCATTCAGAACATCTGCAAAGCAGCAACATGATCTTCAGTACACAGGTTCACATCCCATTGCACTGTTGTGCAGCAGGCCAGAGGTGACACTGGGTTTGGCAGAGCTGTGTGGCTTTCAGCATGCCCTGAAGCTCCTCTCTGCCTCTGCTGATACTGCTTGGAGATACACCTACATTGAATGGAGGTGAATAAGCACTTGAAGAAGAAAAGACCTGTTTTCGTAACTGGTGTTCTTCGAGATGTGTTGCTCATGTCCATTCAACATCCAACTCTCCTTCCCCTCTATCAGAGTTTCCAGCAAGAAGGGACTGAGGGAGGAGAGGGCCTGGCAGCACCCTATGTAGTACAGCCATTCAGGGATTGCTGGAGCTGGTCCCCTATGGATATTCCTGAAAGAAAATCTTCCAGCACTGTTGCATGTGGCGAGCATACACCTCCATTGAATGAACATGAGCAACACATCTCTAAGAACACCAGTTATGGAACCAAGTATCTGTCTTTTCATTGTGAACAGTCTATTTAGAGGCCTTATTACATACGCTGTTTCAAGTAGATAGGGGAAAGAAAAGGTGTATACTTTGAGAAATAGTCCTTTACTGGTCAATAGTTATAGATAAGTTGATCAAATTGCTCTTTTCCAGTGTTCTAATTTTTTATGTCCATGTGCAGAATGACTTTTATTGGGCTGTGGGATGAGGGCCGTAGTTAGGAGTATGGGCTATGGGGTGGGATTTGGGAGGAAAGATTTGGTGCATGCAGCTCCAGGAAGGGGGTACTTCTCTCACTGCAGCAACTTAGGGCCATCTTTCCATAGGAGCAGCTGCTCTAGCAGGTGTACCTGGGGAAGAGGTGCTTGTCCCTCTGCTCTGCTAGCATACATAGCTCTAGATGTAAACGATGTCTCCTCTAGCCACTAGATGGGGCTGCTGCCTTGCACTTCCCTATAGTCCAGATTATCTAAATTTTTTATATCCAATCTGGCCCCAGCTCCAGTTAGATCTGATAAATGGGATTTTGCTGTATTTAATTGGACTTACAACTGCGTGTTTTCCAATCTATAAGCGTAGAAATTCTTTCATTGTCCATTAGGATGAAGTACGGCTTAGCAGTTAGAGCTCATGCAGTAGAAGGCACTTTGTGAAAGAAATTGGTGCTTTCTTATACCTGTAGGCTTGAAGTATAAAACCGGATTCTCTTGTCAACCTCACTGTATACTGTGGAATTTATGGGATAGACCATACCTTATGCCCTTAGCAGGATGGTAAATATAAGTAAAGTCAGCCAGAGATAAAGAACGAGACTTTCATTTTATAATTATGGATTTGTACTGTATGGGTCTTCGACTGGAGAGAGGGCACGAGACTGCAAACCAATCCGTTTATCTAGTTACTGGTTTTGTTCTGTGTACATGGCCTCTTGTTACAAATATTTCTTCTTGTGCTGCCAGATGTGTAGGCTTGGTCAACACAAACCAATCTGCAAAGTGTTATGTGATGGAATCATGCGGGTGGGTAAGACCATGGCGCAGAAGCTGACAGATGAGCTAGTGAGTGAATGGTTTACCCAGCCTTGGAGCAGTGAGGAGTGTGACAATCATTCCAGACTCAAACTTTATGCGCAAGTTTGCCGGCATCACCTAGGTAAGTGAAGTTGGTAGGTAGTTGGGGTGGTTGCAGAGTGGGAAGCAATTTTCCCTTTAAATCATTTATGAGCTATAAAATGATTGTAAAAATAGCTTTGTGGGGCTCCATTTTAGTCGTGTATCTTTGATTTCCATATTACATTTGTTCACTTTGCAAGTAAAAAGATGCATGTTTTAGGGATATTAAAATGTGTATATTTTAGTAAATGTGTAAACCACTGAATGTCTCAGCAATTACATGTTTACATTCGGGGGCAAGCAGGAGGATGCAGCCCACATAGGCAGCAGTGCAGGAGGTGGGGTAAAAGCCAGCACCCTATGCGCACCAGTTGGGAAGGGAAGTCATGTAACTGTGAGGGTTAACCAAAGAGCCCAGGTTAACCATGTACACAGGTACACATTCGCATCCCTAGTATTTTCTAACTGCCAGCCTGTTAAATTCATCTTGAGAGCCAAAAGCCAATCTGTGTGTTCCTGCGGAGAAATCAGTGTACCCCTGGATGTTTGGTCATCTGATCCAAAGGCCCTTTTGTAGAGGTTTAAACATATATATTGAACTAATAGGGGGGTTAATAAGCACATCTGAGATGTAATGTCAGTGCATTGTGATTTTGTGGTTTATCTGATACCTTACACAGATTAGAATTAGTTTATTGAACTCAAGCCATCAAGACTAAATTAATATGTATGGATTGAGTGAATCATCTGGAAGAATTTATAGTGGCTATTTCTTGTCTCTTGATGAGCAGGGTATGCCCACTCTTTGTTCTAAATGGCTTGGACCTTGGCTGAGCGAGGACCCATCTTCCTGTGTGATTGCTTGGCAATTTATTATTTGTATTCGTGTTGAGGAGCCCCAATCATGGATCAGAACCCAACTGTCTTATACACTGTACAGTCACAGAACAGAAAGATGGTGCCTGCCCCAAAGAGCTAATAGTACTAGACCAAAAACAACACAAATATATAGACAGATGATGGAGCACAAGAAAACAATGAGCCAGTGCTAGTCTGTGTGATAGGTAATTGTCTCAGAACATCAGCTGCTGAACTAGTTGATCCATTTAGATCAGCTGAGGCATGCAAGTTGAGAGTTCCCATTGTCATTGTAGAGGGGAAGACACTAGGTTGTTTTCAGTGAAGTCCTGGAATTAAATCCCCCCAGCCATCCTTGTTATCAGTGAGGACAGATTAGAGCTCCCTGGTCTGGCATACTTGGGACCTGACCAGTCCTGAATGAGATAATTTTCTGAATCAGGGAAAGTCTCCTGGCCCTAGCCTCTTAGCACGCGGCCCCTCCCTGTAGCTGGCTCCGCTCCAGCCCCTCTGCAACTGGGCTCTGGCCTCGCTTCTGCCCCACCCAGCTGGAGCTTCCCAGGGACTCGGCTCTCTGGCTACCACCAGCCTCACTTGTCCCCAACCTGGTCAGGGCTTCCCTTGAATGGCACTTGCTGGTGGCCCCACTTCTGCCCCACCCGGCTGCAGCTTGCCAGAGACAGGACTCACCAGCCCTGCTGCTGCCCCTGCTGATGCCGGCTGAGGGTGGGACCCACTGTCATTGAACTCCCAGGGGGCTCACACTTGCGCCGCTGGGACTCTGTGGTCCAACAACAACTGTGGTCCTTCTGGTTGTTGCCAGACCAGAGAGTCCTGGATTTAGGTGGTTCAGTCTGTACTTGAGTAGTTGATTCTGCTGACTTTGAGGGCTAGCCTCACAGGCCTTGGAAAAAGGGAAGTTCAGGAAGGTATTCAAGCATTTGGGATAGGTGGGTGAGTAAGAGTACTGTAATAGGTTATTTAATAAAGGGATTGTTTGTGAAACCCCAAAAATATTTTCACTGGAGACCACCCAGAGTTACACTGGTATGGGTTTATTGTTTGAGAAATTAGCACTCTACTATTTGCACTACAAGGTTAAACCTAAGAAGATAGAGCTGCCAAACCATTTATCTGTAAAAATTGCCAATATGCCATTACAGGTTACATCTATAAAATCTGGGACTCTTTGGTCCAGCAACATCCATGGAGATTGCTGGACCACAGGGCCCGGCTGGCCAGGTTCAGGGGCTGGGCTGGTGGTGTGAAGAACAGTTCTGGTGGTAACAGGGCCGGCGTGGTGGGCAGCACAGCCCCCACTGGGGCTGGCTGACAGCACTGCTCTGGAGCACAGCCTCGGTGGCAGTGGGACAGCACAACAGTGTGTACAACCCTGCCTAGCCAGAGGCAGCATAGGGTCAGCATAGCAGGGAGCGTAGCCCACCCCGGACCAGAGAGAGTGGGACCAGCACCAGGGAGCACAGCCCAGATTGGAGCCTGCAAGTGCAGCCCACCAAAGCCAGCAGCAAGAGCACAGCCCAAGCTGCAGTCAGCGCATGTGCAGAACTGTGTAAAATGTGCTCAGTCCATGAAGTTGCTTAGGGTCCAAACATACTTCAATTAATTTAATTAAATCCCCCAAAGTAGTAACTCATGTAAAAAGGGCTTGTACTGGCAGAGATAAAGATGCTCTATTAAAGGGTCATAGTGAACTGTGAATTAAGTCGTGAAGTTGAATGTCACGTATAGCCACAAATACAGTGTTATCACATCACAATGTAACCAGAACTAACGACACATCAATAGTAATGCTGATTCACTTCCCCTTCTCTTTACACTGTTGGAACTCTGCAAAATCAAGCCAGTGTTTAATAGTTGAATCAAATTATCAAAAGGTGCTCATTGCAAAATTGAGTCTACAATTAAATATTTATAATGGAAATTATACTCTCACAATTTTCCTTCTCCCTCAAAGCCTAGTACTGTATAACTTTACAATGCTTTGTGTTTGATGTGAATGGATACATAACATCAATTTACTTTTGTTTTTATACACTCTTGCTTGACAGCAGCCTGTTGATACCACCTAAATACCACACCTCAGCACCAGCAAGCCAGGGGCAAGCAATGCCTGGGAGCACTGGACCTATACCCCCAAATTCAACTTATCTATCAGGTCCTGGGGCCCCACCAACAGGCAGTTCCTTTAATTCCACGCCCAACAGTGGGACCACTCACCTTGCAGCAGGAAGTAGTTCAGCATCTGGATCCTCTGTGCCACAGTTGTCATTGACTTCCTCAACACCCAGCATTAACCAGATGAACACTACCTCCTCTTCAGGGTTTAGTGGAATTGTGGGTTTAGGGCAGAACACCAGCACTGGCGGAAATTCTGCAGACAGGCCCCTGGGGAGCACAGGTTCTGGAGGAGACACAGAAACTGGACAGAATTCATCACAGCAGCAAGAAGAGCAGGAAATGTAAGTTACTAAGTACTTGAATGAGTCCATTTATCACTATTTCATTTCCTTAGGGTATATCTACACTGCCACTAAACACCTGCATCTGGTCTCTGTCAGTTGACGCAGGCTCGTAGGGCTTAGGGTATGGGGCTGTAAAATTGTAGATGTTCAGACTCAAATTGTTTTCAAGGCTTTGGCATCCTGCAATAGTAGAGAATCCCAGAAGCCAGGCTCCAATGTGAACCCAAACATTTACATCTCATTTTTATAGTCCCACAGCCCAAGTCCCATGAACCCAAGCCAGCAGACAGTGGGCGTTTAGTGGCAGTATAGACATACTCTTCTCTTCCTGCAGTAAGCCAGGTTTGGGGAACCTTTTTTGGGCCAGGGGCTGCTGACCCACGGAAAAATCAGTCGGGCTGCACACAAGTGAGAAGCAAAACAAAAAACAAATCCTCACTGATGAGGCAGCTGGCTGAGGAGAACAATGCTCCCCACGTTCTCCTCACACACCAGAGCATCAGAGAGCCTAGCCTCGTAGATTTTGTGTTCCATCCCACAGTGAGGCAATGTGGGGGCTGGAGTGCCAGTACAGGCTTCCCAGTGCTGGGGGTAGGTGGGGCTGAGCCTTAGGGGCTAGGTTCAGGCAAGCCCCGGGCCTGAGGTTCCTCAACCCTGCCTTAAGCAACATGGACATTCCTGAAATTGAAGAGCTCATTGTTTTCTCACAGCCATCCAGAGCTGCAGCTGTGGCTGTTTTGATTACAACAGCTGTCTCTGATATATAGCGGGTAAATTTTATCCATCATTTATAGTCATTGAAATGAGTCTTATTATTTCACGTTATTTAGTTAAAAGAGACACTGTTATTGTTGATAGGTTCAAAATTTGACCCACAATTTTTTTCTTGTGTTTCCAGAAGTAGGTATTATTTTGTGTATATAGATTCGCTATATGATCAAAACTAATGCTACGTTGCTGTTATTTCTTAAACCCGTTCTGGCATTACAGTATTTCTAAATAACCCTCCAAGAAGGAATCAATGTGCACTTATACAATGTCAGGGAATAGATTTTGGGGATAAACAGATTGCAGCTTGGGGTTGCTAAAGAGTCGTCATCAACATAAGTGCGTAAAACATTACTTTTAAAATTAAAAAAATATGTTGCCACCTTTTAAAAATTCTGCCTGCCTGAGGCAGATCCTCCTTGATGGGTAATTTTTTTCTCTCACTTTTTCAATAACTATGTTAACATGTAGATGCTATGCTGATAAATTGTCATAACATAGTGGGTTAATGAGCTCACATCTTTTAAGTAACAAGTTCAGACCTTCCCCTGTTTGATGCTGTTGTTATACTTCTGTTCAGTAGTCTATGCAAAATCTACCACTGTAATTAAAGCTAGTTGGCAGCCACAGCAGACTGAATGTGTTTCTTATCTCTGCATGTTGATCCCTCCTGTTCAGAATTGAGGCACTTCCACAGGGAGCAATGCAAGAAAACTTTCACTGCCGGTGCTATACCTCTTCTGTGAATAAACCAAGGAGGCCTTCAGTCTACTGTCTTCTTTCCAGCTTTCTTCAGTACTAAAACAACTTGTCTGAATGACCACAGGCAGAAAATAGCTATGTAAACTGTCATTCACTGATTTAGTCCTAATCATTTCTTGTACACATTCTTTAGAAGTAGACTGTTCTGGGTGTTTCACTTGGGTTTGTGTCACTCTTTTAGCAAGCACCTTTAACAAATTATTAGCAAGTACTTTAATGTGTGATGTACATCTTTGGGTAGATGTAAGATCTTATCAGCCATAGTTTGCAGATTGTGTTTTTAATTTTATTGTCTCAGTGTAAAAAGCAGTCCTCCCCTTCAGGATTTGCTTATGCACTTTTATGCATGTGTCTCTAGTGTTACAGAGAGGGAGAGAATAGGGATTCCCACTGATCCAGAATCTGCAGACAGCCATGCCTATCCTCCGGCAGTTGTTATCTATATGGTGGATCCTTTTACCTACACAGCAGATGAGGAATCTGCCTCAGCTAACTACTGGTTGCTAAGTTTGATGCGATGCTACACAGAAATGTTGGATAACTTGCCCGACAATATGAGGAATTCTTTCATTCTTCAGGTAATATTTTAACTTTGGAGATACATTCTATCACATCAAATGTTTGCAGAATACAAAAAGATGTAAAATGGAAGCTGGGATACGATGTTTGAACATAGTGCCCAGTGCTGTTCTGTACAATGTTTAGTTGACATTTACAAAATGTGTTTTATTAAATGGGCAAGTAATGTGTTAAAATAATATCTTGCTTGTGATGTAATGGAGGACATTTTTTGAAGTAGTTACATACAGTAGAGTTATGCAAGGGATTAACCCAGTGCCACAGACACACTCCTTGTGCCTCTGTTAGAGAGAGGCAGCAAGGGGGGAAGCAAGAACCTGTGTTGAGAGGAGCCAATTTAAAAGCTGGCTTCCCCCAGCATCATCTCCGGTGTGCCACCGTGCTCCCCCCGCTGCCTCTATCAGAGGCAGTGGATGGGGTTAGGGTAGGCCAGTCCTGTCTACCACAAACAGAGGCTGTTCTAGCACTAGCCTCTGTTTGTGGCGGACAGGGCTGGCCACCACAAATAGGGGTTGCTGGACTCAATGTGAACTGGGACCCGGCAGTCCTGACTCTCACTGATCTCTGCGCCTCTGCATTATAAATGTAGTAAGAGTCCAGCAGCTCTTACTACATTTAAAATGCAGAGCTACAGCCTGGATGATTTTCAGAGCTGGCACAATCTGGGACTGCTCAGCCCCAGCTCAAGGTAGGTCCTAGAGCTACCTTGCCGCGGCTCTGCAGAGTGGTCCTATTAACTACTTGTATAGTTTATACAAATTGTATTGACTATATGATTGGCCTGATAGCTGCATTTTGAAATCCTTAATCCCATTGACCAGTTTCTAGCCAATGAGAGCTGTCTGTTTGAAGATCAGGCAGTGCGCGGAGTACCTGTTCCCTCAGGCTCTTATACACCGATGTACATGGCTGCTGCAGCCTGTGCAGGGGTGGGGCAGGCAGGGAGCTTGCCTGGGAAACGTACTGGGCTGCTGGCTGGGAGTCACCCAGCTAAGCCTCCCAGTCAGAGCCTGTCTCTGGAACCCTAGCGCCTCCATTCCTCTCCATTCCTGCCTCCCTACCCCACATAAGCCAAACCCTCTGCCCCCCTCCTGAACCCATACCTCCCCCGACTCTGCACCCCAATCCCCTGCCTCAGGTCACAACCCACTCCTGCCCCAGGTCCAACCCAGACCCCTGCACCCTTCCCTGAACCCCAGAACCCTGCCCCAGGTTACAACCCCTTCCTTCACCAAAACTCCCTCCCAGACCCCACACCTCCGTCTGCACCCCAGTCCCTTACCCCAAGCTCCCTTCTGCACCCTTCTCCACCCAGGACCCTACATCTTCTCCATTAATATAATGGAAGAGTGATGCTCAACCATGTTCCAAATTCTTGAAGTGTCCCCCTCCCCCATCAAAAATTATTGCCCACCCTGATATAAAATGTAACATTAGTATCCCAGCTGCATATTTTAACCTTGCTCACTGCAGGGGATTGAGCAGAAGATATTAAAATAAAATAACTGTTATCATTTTAGTAACTGAAGTCTGAATAGATAGATCCTGCATGACTAGAAATCAGTAGTACACTTAGTTCTCCGTTTGTGTAAAGAAATTCAGAGGCTTCCTTATTTTCTGCATATCTGTAGTTTGGTTTTTGATGCATGGCATTTTGCCAAACAAACAAAAATGTTTATTGGTTTAGTATGTTCCAGGAGTATAAAGAGGATTCCTGCACCTGAAAAAGTGTGATACACAAATTATGTAGTCTCTTTATTTTTAGTTATTGTTACAGGTTAAATCTCTAAAATCTGGGACATGCTGATCCAGCAACATCGATGGTCCAGCAGGACCATGGGTATTGTTGGATCAGAAAGCCCTGGCTGGCCAAGTTCAAGTGCTGGGTGGGTGTGGTGGAAGAGCACAGACCCAAGTGAGGCTGGTGGCAGGGAATGCAGACCCGGTGAGGCTGCAGGCAGTGGGGCTGGCGCCTGGGAGCTCAGTCCCGGCTGAGTTGGCAGAGTGGGGAGTGCAGCTATGCCTAGGCCAGAGACAGCATAGTCTGCAGTGCCTGGGAACACAGCCCCAGTTGGGGTCAGCACAGTGGGGAGCACAGCCCCATCCCCAGGTGGATCATAACCCCAGGAGGACTGGAATCACAGGGTTGGCGGGGGACCTGGGCCAACAACCGAGAATTGACCTCCCTTAATCCGACAAACTCCGTAATTCGGCACTTCTCAGCTCCCAACAGTGCCAAACCAGGGAGGTCCTACCTGTATCACTAAGCATGTTGATTGAGTTTGTACCTAAAAGCTACAAGAGGATAGCTATCATTGTGCTAGGCATAAAAAATTATAGTCTCTGTCCCAATGAGCTGATAATCTTAAAGACAAAGACATATGTTTCCACATTCACCTCTGATGTATTGTAGTAACCAGAAGTACTTAAAGAAGGAGTTGAAGACAAGGCAGAGAATTATTGTGAACGTAATTCTCAATGTAAAGGGATTTGCGTTGAAAATATTCTTTTTGTGTTGTTTGTTCAGTATCGGAAAGAACATTTTCTTCTTCTTTTTCCTTTTCTCACTGTAAGGATAGACCCCTCGATCTCTCATTTTTCTTAGGGTATTCCTTAGATTGTGGGCCTGTCTCTTCCATGGAGAAACAGTTATGTCTTAGAGAAATACATTCATTTTGCTTTATGAATGTAATTATATTGCAACAGATAGCAATATTATTACATTGCTACACAATTTACCATCCCAGAGGTAGTGTTGGCCTACAGAACAAATCAATAAAAGTGACATCTCAATAAAGAGAAGGTCCAGATATACTGGTCACTACTTAAAAAACCGTCAGTTTAATAACAATAACCTATACTTCCTGAGATTGCCACAGTTTTCTTCCTATATTAAGAAACAGAGAATCATAGAGAGAGAGATGGAGGGAGAGAGGGAAAAGGAGAGAGGGAAAGAAAGTGGGAGGGGAAGGTTTTGCCTCAAACACAAAGTTTGAGATGTTTGGTTCCATGTTTCAGTAAGAGCGTCTGGAAAATTCAGACATGGGTAAAAAGCATGCTCAAGTTTCAAGAATGTTTGGGTATAAGGTTTTGATTTGCATCTGCCTTTACCATCATCTGTAAGCTGCATGTCCTTGATCACAGACAAGCTGGTGATCTGACTTGACCTCCACTTATAAATAGAGCCCTACAAATCCGCATATATCTGCGGCTCATTTTTGAAGATGCGGATAATTTTATATCTAGAATCCTATAGATTTGTGGATATTCATTTTGTATCTTCAGGTATCCACAGCCGTGGATGTGGATGCAAATATCCACAGCTCATTTTTGCGAACACAGCTGCGGATACAAATTTTGTATCTACGCAGGTTCTACTTGAATCTCTACTCAAGATTCTTGTTTCATTGAGCAAAGTAGAAATTTAGGTGGACAAATCATCTCTTTATTCTTCTGTTCTGTGTTATTTAAAAATAAATTGACATAGGAAGCTAATTTGCACTTTCAGCCTCTAGTAAATCAGTCAGCATACCCCAGATTATTAAGTAATTAATAAACAAGTAGTCCTGGGCTGCTGGACAATAGGATTATTTTTTTAAGTGTGCTCTGAGATAGAACCATGTAAAATAAACTGTGGTTCAATGCTCATGTTCAGAAATACAACGCAATAGTATGGGGCCCCACTCCTGATTGATGCTTGTGGGCATTACCATAATACAGATACAGTGCTAATATACACAATATCTGTAGTTGCTAAACGAAGAATGAATTCTTGTTCTAAATAAATCTGAATTTGACTTGTTTTATTTCATGTTGTTGGGGTGGGAAATAAGCCCTTTCAGTATTTTTAATCCTGATTTTTATTTTTTATACATAAATGTATAGATTGTGCCTTGCCAGTACATGCTCCAGACAATGAAGGATGAACAGATATTTTACATTCAGCACTTGAAGTCTTTGGCATTTTCAGTTTACTGCCAGTGTAGGCGACCGTTGCCCACACAGATCCACATTAAGTCTCTCACTGGCTTTGGACCAGCTTCCAGCATTGAAATGACCCTCAAGAACCCTGAGGTTAGTAATCATACCAAGACAAGGAATCTGATTCAGGAACCGACCTCATTTTCCAGAACCCAGAAAGAATGAGCATGAGACTACTTATAGTAGCCAGAGGCTTTCTTCTTTTCAAGGTATTGGCGGTGATGATATAGAGGAAAGGAAACACCAGAAAATAAGTGCATCATCTAATATATCTATGTAGGAAGTAGGTAGTTGAGCACATTCTAGATTCTGTCACTTCTCATGAAATCATTTTGCTGGCCTGCAAGCTATTCAGTGATTCTGTCTTTCACCTGATCCTAAATTTGCAAATGATTCAAGTTCTGCTTTCTGCATTTCAGACATCTCAAATGAAAAATCTTCCTTCCTTTGGGAAATAGCATGGGGCTTACCTTTTATATTTGTTTAATTAAAACTATATAAAAACCTAGGAGCTCAGCTTATTAATTAGAAATGTAGTTCCAAAATGAAACCAAGATATCAGCACATTTCCGCACATACACACCCCCATCTGAAATAAAAACAATTGCAATTGAAATCAGAGTCTCCACATTTCTCAAAATTCCCAGAAGAAGTCTCGGCCTCAGTCCTCCTGTATACCCCTGAAAAAAACAGAATTTTTTTCTTTAAGCTGCTCTCTGACTCACTCTGGTGGAGGCCCAACTCAGGAGCTTATACTATTGCTCAGGTGTGGCATTGTGTAATAGTGCCATGACAATAACATTATTTTATAATGTAACATGACATTATTTTATAATGTAACATCTGAGCTCCAGTTTATGTGCAACCAGCACATGCTGCAGAACAAACAACAGAAGGGGGAAGGAGAGATAGGATTGAACAAAAGTGGAAAGTATCACCATGAAGGAGTATGGTATAACAGAACTGAAGGACACATAGGGGCAGAGAGGAGATGGAAAAGAAACAGAGGAATGTTGGTAGGGATAGAGAGAACGGAGGTGGGATGGAGCGTCAGCCTGTATAAGAACCCAAAGCATTCCTTGTTCTTTCTTTCATTCTTTCTCCTCAAACGGATTTATTCTTTCTTTACCAACTTTTTAATTTTTCAAAGAGACAGAAGAAGATAAAATTAATAGGACAAGAAAAGTAACATTTCCTCATGTAACTGTGTTGGTATTTAGAATACCACAAATGTACTCTCTGTTAAACATGCATTTCTCATCCCTCCCCACCACATCTTTCAAGTGTAATCTCAGTTAACTGAAAAGTTAGACATGAAAGCGTATCAGTTCCTAGATTATTTACTATAGACCATCTATCCAGTAAACTCATTTGCTTTATAATTCCTTTACTGATCCAATATAATGTTTGAAGAAGAGTAAATTTAGTAAGGTAATGACTGATTTCTGTTAGAATATGCATTGTTTTAGGGGTGATTCAAAGTATTAACATGCAGAGGCAGAACTGAATTAATGCTTTAAGTTAAAAACTGGGTGTTTAACAATCCTAGGGCATGTCATTCAAAATCTGGTAATATTTTTAATTAATTTAGGAGAACTGATTAGCAGCAGACCTGCTGTTCAGCTCTGACAATGAAACCTCCACAATAGCCCTAAGATTGAGATGATGGATTCCTTTATGTTCCTCTGTTACCAGGATATATCAGTTTTGATTATGAATTCCTTGGATTGTAACTGTTTGTATCACAACTTTCCTATTTCTTCATGTATATATCACCATTCTGTTTTATACATTTCTTGTGCAAACACTGCTTTAGATAACTCTGTACTGACGATAATGTTGCTGACCTTGATTGCAGCGTCCCAATCCAATTCAGCTCTACTCTCCTCCTTTCATACTGGCACCCATCAAAGACAAACAAACAGAACTGGGGGAGACATTTGGAGAGGCCAATCAGAAATATAATGTGCTCTTCGTTGGATATTGTTTATCTCATGATCAGCGCTGGCTCCTGGCATCCTGCACTGACCTCCATGGCGAGCTGTTGGAAACCTGCATTGTAAATATTGATTTGCCAAACAGGTAGAAACCTTCAGTTTTATGTTAAGTTTGAATTGTCATTTCTCCATGATCACTTTGTTGCCTGGCTGTTTGCACATCCCTTTCTAGTCCCCTCTGTTACTATGAATAGTGATAATATTTCATTGTATTGGTGGTTTCTATCATGGCTTATTAAATACAGAGTAAGAAAGTGGTTGTGTTTGCTTTATAAATGCCAGCTGAGTGCATTTCTAAGTACACTTGGTATCATGTTCAACATATTGGTGCTTCATTAGTGCTGGGGTCTTTGGATACTATTGTAATGCCAGTAATAAAAATAGAGAGAAAGATTCCATTTCTATTTTATGGTCTTTGAATTTAAATAAGACACTCAGATTTTACAGTTCTGTGGGTGGTATAGGAGTTCAGCAAGATAGTAAAAAGTGAAATAGTGACGTGGGATAGAAATCTGAAATTCTTCTACATTTCCCTTATCTCCAGATCAAGAAGGAGCAAAGTGTCTGCACGTAAAATTGGTCTGCAGAAGCTATGGGAGTGGTGTGTTGGGATTGTACAGATGACATCACTGTCCTGGAGAGTTGTAATTGGACGCCTTGGAAGACTGGGCCATGGAGAGTTAAAAGGTATGGAAAGCTAAGGATGCTAATGTGCTGAGGAGTAGAACTACAAGACAGATTACTGTTCAGGAAGGATGGTTTAGTATATTAAACAGGATCCTCAAACCAGGCACTATGGCTGGGGGTATAATTCCACTTAATGTTAAAATGCAGGTAATTGTTTAAATGTGTAACCACTGAAAAACTCAGTGGTTACATGATTATGTGCACCTGCAGCTGGTTTCCCAAGGCAGCAGCAAGTGACGATAGGCAGCTCCCTGGGAGCTGGTGCACATGGGAAGCCAGCTTTTAAGACAGCTCCTCACATATACCAGCTCCTGCCTGCCATCCTGTACTGCTTCCTCGGATAAAAGGTAGCAGTGCGGGGTGGCAGCCAGCTCCGCAGGAGCAAGGTGGAAGCCTGCTTGTAAACATGAACATTAACCAAATAAGCCCAGCCTTATCAGTTAACTGTTTATATGATTATATGCTCAAATCCCTGG